TTTATTTTAATGAGACTTAAGCATAGAGAGCACGTGAAAAGCGGACCTTGCAATTACCTTTCTGTAACTCCCTACTCCTCCGCCCTCCAATTCTCTTTACTTAACATAAAACCCAGGTATCCCGTCTGCTAGCATGATAGGACCAAGCCTGCCAGGAGTGCAGAAGCAGCGGCCAGCCTGCCTCATCGCACACACCAAGAGGCGATTACCTAAGTGACGGGAGAATTTCAGAGACGCGTCAGATCCCAAATGGAGGGGATAGAATTGGCAGTTCAAACAACTCTTTGATTTCCAAGCCAAGAAGCTATAATTTACATAAATGACAGGAAATGCATGCTCCTTTACATCAAAGCCTGTGCATTTCAGCGTGGACCTGACCATCTGTGCCAGGATGGCTAACAGAACCCACGTCTCAAAGGATATGAGAGTAGAATTCACCAATTTATATTTTGGGAGAGAATGATGACATCAGTGCTGCAAAGGACCCTGGTCATCACCTGGCCCAACCACGCTGCTCAATATAGACAAGAGCAGATGGGTGTAGGTAGAGCAGGTGACTCACTCAAGGTGACTTAGCTCACCAAGGCAACAGCAGATGCAGGTACAGTGTGTCTCAAGCCCCAGGTGAGTGTTACTCTAACAGGCACTTGTTCTTTGTAATGACTTCCCATCCCCATGGTAGCAGAGCGAAAAACAATTCAAGAGGGATTTGGAATCTGCTCCCCAGTTCTGTGGTCCTGAGGAAGCTGCTTGTCTAAGCACAAGTGCTGTGTGCTGTAATCCTACCTCAAATAAAACTGCACCTCTCTAGCTTTACCTACACTGGCTCTGTCGGGCTCCAGAGTCCCTTGACACATGTAGGGAAGGTTGTGTCCAGGGCCTGCTGTCAATGATCCTCTGGGCAGGGAGAGGTCAGCCTGTGCCTGTGACATCATTCCTCGGCCTCAGTTGTCTCCAGGTGCCTCTAGCCAATGCACTGTGATACTGGGTGTGTTAGTCTGCTGGGCTGTCACGACAAAATATCATAAACTAGGGTCTTAAACAACAAAAATGTGTTTTATCACAGTGTTGGAGGGTAGAAGCTAGGATCAAGGTGCAGACCAGTGCACTTTCCGGTGAGGCCTCTCTTCCTGGCTTGCAGACGGCCACCTTCTACCATATCCTCACCTGGCTGTTTGTCAATGCCTGTGCATGCAGTGAGTGAGAGCAGGCTCTCTTCTTATAAAAACACACATCCTGATGAATCAGGGCCCACCCTTTGACTTCATTTAACATTCATTACTTCCTTTGAGACCTCATCTCCAAATACAGTGACACTGGGGGTTAAGGCTTCAATGTGTGAATTTGGGGGGACACACACATTCAATCCATAAACCAGGGGCAGGTGCGCCCACTCCGATGCTGCTGCTGTTCCCTGCTGTCCAGGCAGCTTGTTCATGTATTTTTGGCGTTCCCAGAAAAATAAACATCCTTTAGGTTTTATTCTTTACTTGTGCAGATGAGCAGGAAAGCATTTCAAGGTGTTGACTTCTCTTTCTGGAATGAACGGTACTGTCCTTTCATTCACTGAATCCACCTGGTTGGGCTGTGGCAGCACTGTTGTGCTCTAAGCTGATGGAACCCCAGGTTTCAGTGGGGCCCCTCTGGCCCTGTGTTTCTCAGCTCCCCTTGCAGAGTAGAAATGTTGCCCCCAACCACCAGTCCTGGCTGAAAGGTCAACTACACAATGCGCTCCAGCAAAACAAAAATGAACCGGGAGGGAGGGACTGCAATGCAAGAAAAAAGCTGATGAGCACAGATGGCGATAAATACATACATCTAATTGACGATGAGCTATAAAAATCAGTATTGTTCTCAGGTTGGTAAATGTGGAATTAAAACTGGACAAAAGTGGTAAGAGAAGATCACCTTCATCTTATTAAGGGTTGGCTATAGCTATTGAGATACAAAAAACTTAGTATTCAATTAAGGTTATAATAAAGTTCGTGCATTCACAATTTAAGGGTAACGGCCAAGGCACAGCAAACAATTTGTAATTTTCGAATCAATGAAAATAAGTGCTGGCGAAGAAAACACAATAAATAAATCCATTCAACAAAAGGCAGGAAAGGAGGAAAAAAGGAAGCAAAGGAGAAAAAGCATAACAAAGTAAGATGGCAGCAATGCATCAAAATGTGCCACAAGAAGCACCAGGTGGAACAGTATGAGCCTGCCATCTCTTTATGTAAGAGTATTTGAATATTGGTAATTGCATATCGTTCAACTTGTTATATAGCAGGCAACAAATAAGAAAATGGACTTTAATTATATATATATAATTGATTTCAGAGAGGAAGGGAGAGGGAGAGAGAGAGAAACATTAATGATGAGAGAGAATCATTGATCAGCTTCCTCCTGCATGCCCACAACGCAGACATGTGCCCTGACTGGGAATCAAACCGGTGACCTCCTCGTACATAGGTCGATGCTCAACTACTGAGCCATGCCAGTCGGGCAAGGAAATGGACTTTTAAAAATTCAACTATATGATGCTGGAAAGAGGCACACCTAAACAGAATGTGGGGAAAGATTGGAAGAAAGTTGATTAGAAGACACAGCCGTCCATGTTAACCAAAAGCTGCCGACACAACTGGACAGTGTTAGCAAAGCAGAATTTAAGGGACAAAGCACCGTCAGGGATGAAACCAGATGCTTTCAAGATAAAACAAATGTTTTCTGGAGAGCAAGCAACAACCATAGACCTGCACGTGTCTAAAAAGTATGTGGCTTAATATATAAAAAAGACAAACTATAAAACAAATCTACTCAGTTATCTATCTGCCTCAGAAAATTATAAGAGGAAGTTAACATATGTGCATCATTAGTGAGAAAACTTAACTCTATCGGAAATTGAGAGAACAAGCAAGAAGCAATTGTACTGTTAAAAAAGATAAGATATGCAAAGTACCATTTACACAAGACTGAAAAGAAATATATTCTCTCCCTTATAAAATGGAGACTATACCATTTTTTCAAGTTCATATTCAACATTGAAAAAAATGGTCATGTGTTCGGTCACAAAGAAAAATCTTCAACAAATACCAAACAAGTAATAGTATCCAAGTTACAATGAAATTAAAGTTTGGAAATAAGGAAAAAGCTTATTGTGTAGGATATTGCCTGGATGCAACAGTAGCCCCAGTGCACTCCCAGGCAGGCTGTCCCAGAGATGATGCAGCAAAAGGGACACAGAGGACCACATTCAGATGCTGGAACCCCAGAGTTGATGAAATCAACGCAAGTCACAGGGAGGGAAGCAGGTGGAGAAAGGGTAAGACACACCTCGGAGTGGGTGCGAGTGTGAACTCCCTGAATCCTAGGGTCCAGGGTGCTCATGGGTCCTGTCTCTCCTCTGCCACCTCAGCTTCCCATGGAGGGTGTGGTTGTGAGGACTGGAGTTGAGGTTCCCTGGGCCACCCGACGTGCCTGCTCCTTGGAGAGACACCGGGAAGCAGGTGTGGCTGGGCTGTAGCTCACTAGTCTGTAGCTCACTAGTCTGTTGAGGAGCCGTGGTTTTCATCTGTTTCTTGGGCAGAGCACTGGGCCATGGAGAGACCATAATGGGTGTCCCTAATGACTGGGCGAGTCTGGGGGAGACAACACACCCAGAGGTGACATAATCATGACTTTCCAGCCCTTTCCTGCTATTCGAAGACCTTCTTTAATACATCATATTTTAAGGACTTATTGCATCTAACCCTGACATGTCTTACAGGTTACTAACTTACTTTTTGAACTTAATACATCTATCAGTTTTGCTGTGTTCATAAGCTACTTACTCTTTATCTTACCTGACCCACCCTATGCCTTCACTGTATCTCATAAAGTAACAGCTTACTTAGAACCGATGCTGCACTCATTTTATGGTTTCATGAGTCACTCCACAGGCTCTTTGGAGCACCCGAGTGAGTCTTTCTCTAAAGCACGCAAAGGTTTTAGCCTGGGTACGGACTCGTGGGGCAGAACCACTGCTCATAGAAACACATGCACACATAGCACATGCACACACAGTACAAACACACACAGATACTCATACACACAGATTCACACACACACAGACAGACTCACACACACAGACTCACACACACGCAGACTCACACACACAGATTCACACACACACAGACTCACATACACACGCACACACACACACTCACCCACACAGAGACTCACACACACACACACAGACTCACACACACACAGACTCACACACAGACTCAGCATACCTCAGGGGAACAGAAAGTGACTTTGGCAGTTTAATTGGCTAATCTGCATCTTCGACAGCATCGTTTTTATTCCTAACTAGGTAACTTATAACCATCTGATTGTGGAGGAGATTATGGCAAGCTTCATTCTGTGAGGAGTTGAGTTTAAACTTATAGTGAATCCTACTGGCACCTGTGATTGGAATATAAAATTAAAATTTATAGTTATATCCTATTGTTATCAATATTTATATCATATTAGCTTCATCATTGTTATATCATAATATAGATAAAACAGCATAAAGTATTCTGGGCCATGGCCTTGCTCTGACTTTAGGTGAGTTCCTCTCCGAAGGGCTCTCATCTGTCTGCCCGCATACCTGTTGTTTGCATGACCACCAGGTCACAGGGTCTTACAATCAAGCTCACAATGGTGATGTCGGCCCTGACATGCTCAGCGCCTTCTCGTCCATCCCCCGTGTCCTTCTTGCAAGGCTGGTGGGCTCTTCGACATTTGACAACAAAAACAATCAGGCACATTTCACCATTTGTCCAAAATATAAGCCCTTGTCTAACCCTGAAATGCAGACAGAAGAAACTCCACCTGCGCTGCTCCTGTTCAATGTCACGGGCAGGAGAGAGAGAGAGAGAGAGAGTGCCGCCCTACCTGTCAGCACAGGTGGGAGGGGCGTGGGCTCCTTTATGTCCAACGTGATGCTTATTTGGGAAGGGGTAAGAATTTTTTTTTTTTTTTTTTGCAGATGTAGTCCCTTATTCAATCTGGGCCTCCACAAAGACAGACAGAAAGCACAGGGATATTTTTTTTTCGCATCCCAGTGGGGGTAAGAATTTTTAGAAAGTGAAAATAAAACCTCGGAGACCTCTTCCCATTTTGTCTTTTGACCTGAAGCTAGAAAATCAGTAAGAGAATTTTTAATTTGGAGAGCAGAGGTGATGCATGTGCGTGCGCGTGTATGTATGTGCATGTATGTGTTTGTGTGTGTGTGTGTGTGTGTGTGTGTGAAGGGGGTGGAAGAAGAAAAACTTAGTTGCTACTCCAACTCTGGGAGGTGCTTCTCAACTGGTTAGAACAGTGGTCGGCAAACTGCAGCCCCTTGAGTGTGGCTCTTCCACAAAATATCACGTGCGGGCGCGCATGTACAGTGCGATTGAAACTTCGTGGCCACACTCAAGGGGCCAAAGAGCCGCATGTGGCTCGCGAGCCGCAGTTTGCCGACCACTGGGTTAAAAGAACTGTTTAAATCAAGAACTCAGACTGCGAATTAGAGATTACATGGCCCAGGCCCTGTCCCTGAAGCACATGGTCATCTCTTTATATGAGGAGCGTCTGGGATTTTCCATAATGAAAAGGAAACTCAGAGCCAGACGTTCCTGGAGGAGCTCGGAGATCTCAGGCTGCAGGTGCTGGAGCCTAACACTTCCAATACGCAGTTTAAATTGGGAGTTTTCGATCCACTTGGTGGCGATGACTGGCAGGGTGAACGCAGCATGAATAAATTTCCCCTAATTTTTGGAGACTCCCACCACAGGGATGATGTTCCTCGTAGTGATTTACACAAGCAGCCAGTGGTCTGGCAGGTCCGGGTCCAGCAGCATCATTCCTCCTGGTGTTGGTCAGCCCTCCACTGCTGCCCCTTCCCCCCGCTGTCTTTCTCAGCGAGATCCACACGGTGTTCCCTGCCTCCAGCAGCACCCAGCCTCTCCTCCCTGCCTTTGTGACGGCAATCCTGTTGCCTTCCCTTTTCTCTGCACGGCCTGGCTTCTTTTTTTAAAAAAATATATTTCTTTATTGATTTTAGAGAGGAAGGAAGAAGGAGAGAGATAGAAACATCAGTGATGAGAGAGAATCATTGATCGGCTGCCTCCTGCACACCCCCTACTGGGGATCAAGCCCACAACCCATGCATGTGCCCTTGGCTGGAATTGAACCTGGGACCCTTCAGTCTGCAGGCTGACGGTCTATCCACTGAGCCAAGCCAACTAGGGCCTGGCTTCTGTTTTTACAGAACACCCCTAATGAATGACATGTGTGGGAACACCTGATTCCTAGGGCAGGTGGAAATTTCCGTGCACTCCCCAAACACCACATTTGAAAGGGGGACTTTCCCCTCCAGAGATGGGTCATAGACTCTTTGCATTTGGACTTGACTTTTATGGCTAGTCTGTCCGTCACTTTTCAGAGCCTCCCAGTGTGAAAGAGCATACACGGTGGCCGCCCAGACATTCACTGAACTCAAGGGCAGCGCAGGAATAAAAGTTCACCAGTGGATTCCAGCAAAATGGCACCTCTAGTGGGCAGGGCTGTCCTGAGGTGACTGCACCCTTGGTGACGAGCAGGGCTGCCCACCAGCAGTTGCACCCTGAGTCCATGATCACCCCTAGAGTTGCTCCTCAGATTCCATGTCATCCTGTGCCACTTAAGTAGAAAGGATCAGTTAAGCTGCAAGCATGCTCCCAACCTATAGCTGAGCATGTTAATTATAGTTCTTATAGGAAATCCACAGGGTGGGTTCAGGGATTGGGGGGCAGGGACTCTCACCCTCTAGCACCAGGCTCCTGTCAGAATTCACCATCTGGTGTCAGGCAAGGACAGTCATAGACCTGCCTCCAGGCATTTTAAATCTTTGCTTCCCAATGACTATAAATGAATCCCCCTTCTCATACCCCAATGGGACAGCTGGTCAACCAGACGCTAGAGCAGAGGTTCTCAACCTGTGGGTCTCGACTCCTTTGGTGGCCGAATGACCCTTTCACAGGGGTCGCCTAAGACCATCCTGCATATCAGATATTTACATTACAATTCATAACAGTAGCAAAATTACAGTTATGAAGTAGCAACGAAAATAATTTTATGGTTGGGGGTCACAACATGAGGAACTGTATTTAAAGGGCCAGAAGGTTGAGAACCACTGCGCTAGAGGGAGGTTAAGGCAAAGACGGAAAAGAATGAGAATGGGAAACACTCTTCACAGCCCCAAAGCAAAAAACATGTTTAGCTTCTGCAATTCTGCAGACATCTAAACAATTCCTGAACGTTAGACATTTAGAAACTGTGCCCCGCTTGGAATAATTGGAACTGATTGTGGAAGGGCCTGCGTTTCACTAACCCATTTACAGTGGTAGGAACTGCTTCTCATAGCCAACTGCCAGACGGCTGTTTATTCAATAACTTCAATGCTAACGGGCCCCCAGGCAAGGAGACTGCTTGGCCACCAACTGTGGCATCTCCCCCATCCCTCCTGTTTCTGAGGTGGCCTGGCTGTGGTCCAGGGCCTCCTGAGATCTCAGCCAGCGGGAGGAGTACCTGCCCGGCCTCTTCCCAGCACCACGAGGCTTCATCCCACACACGCTGAGTCTTGAGGAGACAGGAAGGGCGTAAAGAACATGTCCTGTTTTGTTCCCGTGCCGTGATGGCTCAATTTCTCATAGTTTATAGTAATAAAATATGCACAACTCTTATACCTGAAGAGCAGGGACAGAAACGCAGATGGAGTCGTCAGGAAAACTTCTGAACCAAGAGCACCCTGGGGAAATGGTGTCAGGACGACACTGCTGAGCCGCACGAGGCTCAGGGATGGCTTCTCCCAGGAATCCGTCTCTCAGGGGCCAGCAGTGCGGCCGGCGTCTGCTCCCGGGCTTTAGGCGCTCCTGCTAATCAGGTTTGGGATGTGCCTCCTGTCAAGGCAGGAGATTGTATGGTAGAGGTGTCAGGAGGAAAAGGGTTTGGATGCGGCTCTCCAGGGGTGGACGTGAACCTCTGGGAATTTTGATACCGGAAGTACATTCACGTTGTCATATTATCTACACGATTTTCTTAATATGAAGATGCCATTTGTCTTTTTCACAGTGTTGTCATTTGCACTGATGGTGCGGAAGCAAAGGTGGGCATATTAGTGAGAGTTCTCCAGAGAAACAGAACCAATAGGGTGTGTGCGTGTGTGTGTGTCTGCCTGTCTGAAGGTGCACACATATGTACAGAGAGAAAGAGGGTAAGGTCCTCTCATTGAACTCGCCTAAGAGACCTTTGAGAAAAGGTTGAAGGCATTTCTGCCTCCCTGCCCCCAATCCTGATGGGAAGGTACTTCCTTCATCCCATGAACCAGCCTCGAAGCAGTAGGTTCATTAGCATTGCAGGTGTTGCTTCATTTCCTTCTCACAACACTCAATCCCGTAGGTGTTGAGGCCATTTGACAGAGGGGGACACTGAGGCACAAACCCAAGGTCTCTGACTCTATAGCTCACTCCAGCCATATCTGTCTCCCCCCTAGTTCTTTCATTTCCTGATTTTTCTTTGATTTCCTCAGTGAAATTTCCCAATTTTTTGTATCCATTAATAGCTAAGTGGAAATCAATTGAAATATTGAGTATGGTGGGGGATTTATCCCAATTCGGATCATTGAAAAAACCATTTGGATTTGGGTCATTTATCTAATTTCACAAGTTTCTCAATTCTATTAATATCTGTATTAAATTTTTCAAGTGACCCCGCTTCCTTTCTCACTGTAGCAGAGCCAGGGCACGCTGGACTTAGTTCCATGACATTGTAAACAAATAACGAGGTGACATTTTGACATTTCATGGAGACATTTGCTTAAAAGCCGTTACATCAACTTAACGGAACAGATTCAAAATATAATATAAAGTGAAATATATTCATCATACGCCGTCAAGGTTGTCAAATATGTACACAGACTTTACCTACATGTCTTATTCGTATCATTTATCTGTTAAAATTATTTTTTGTAATTAAGTGGTCAATCATAATTGCTTTTACTATTGGGTTCTTTCTTGAATTTGGTATTTATAGTGAAACGATGTCTTAAAGCTCCCTTTCTCCAGGTGCCCTCGGCGAACTTCGAACAGCGTGCCTCTGACACCAACATAACACCAAACGGAACCTCCCTCACACCCCCTCTAAACGCGCTCTTGTTTCCAAACCCATCACGAGTGAACTGAAAACTTATCACTAACATTTCTCACAACACAGCCAGAGGTGAGACACGCTGTACTTCGGCTTTGCGTTCTTCCACTAAATAGAATTGATAGATGCAAAACCTATTTATTTCATCTGTAGCAACATTAACAGTTTTTGTGGTGGTGGTAAGAAAACATAAACCACGTTAACCATCTTAGGGAACAGTTCAGTGACATGAAGTCACTCCCCATCCATCTCCAGAACTTCCTCACCTTCCCCGGCTGAGCCTCTGTCCCCATGGTAACAGTGTTTGGGAAGCTTGATTGTGCGCTCAGCGTAGAGTCCACCTAGTGTCACATGAATGGCTGGTGATCACGTGGTCCTCATCCAACTTGTTGATAAAATATGAACGGCAGAAGTCAGACCGTGGTTCTTTAACATGCTAACCGAGAACCCGTTGGTCGCTATAGCAACCCGCCACTCAGCACTCTGCAAGCTGTTGTCCAGCTAGCGATGCTCCCTCCGGTGTTCAGTCTCCTCACAGCTCTCCTCTGTGCTCACAAGAATGTCAGTCTTTGTCAAAGGACTTGCTGAAGTCCAGCTCACAGCCCCATGAGCCCATCCCTGATATCTAACAGATCCTTCTGATCTAATAGACCAGGGATCTTGCTTTTATTTATATATATATTTTTAAATATTTTTTATTGATTTTTCACAGAGAGGAAGGGAGAGGGATAGAGAGTTAGAAACATCGATGAGAGAGAAACATCGATCAGCTGCCTCCTGCACACCCCCCACTGGGGATGTGCCCGCAACCAGGGTACATGCCCTTGACCGGAATCGAACTTGGGACCCTTCAGTCTGCAGGCCGACGCTCTGTCCACTGAGCCAAACTGGTCAGGGCAGGATCTTGCTTTTAAAAATGCTTTTGGCAGGACTTTCCCTTC